ACACACACACAGACAGACATGCACGCGCGCGCACACACACACAAACACACATAAACAAACACACAGCAAATACAGACACACGCACACACAGATGCAAGTGTGTGCCCATACATACACACACACACACACGTTTACACGCACACATCTCACATGACCGTGCAGCATTTGCAGGTCTGTTTCTTCTCCTTCTCCTTCTCTCCCTCCTCCCCGCCTCCATTGGCCTTCTCTTTCTCTGCCATGCTCCCGTTGGGCGGAGCCTGCTCATCCGTGGCTGCCTCTCCGCCTGCTTTCCCCTCCCCATCTTCGATCACAACAAACTCGGCCTTCACGTTGCCGTCCACCCCCTCCATTCCCAGGGCCGTGTGGCTCTCCTGCTCCTCTTCGACGGTCTTGTAGCCCATGAACACCAGGGTGACGGGGTTGTCTGCACTAGCCTGGTCAGGACTGGGACCCAGCAGCTTGGCCTCTATCCCTGTCACCTCTCTCTTGGGGGTGTGACCAGAGGTCTGCACTACTCCATTTTCACCTGTAGGGGACACCAGAGTATCATGGAGAAGTTAGGGTCGTGCAGAAGCAAAGAGGGTGGTCGGGGGGGAATTCAGAGAGACAAAGAAAGAAAGGAAATATTGTTTTAATGGCCCCCGGCAGAGAGGAAGAATTTAATAAAGCCAATGAAGAGGCCATTATTAGTGCACTTCCTCTTTTTGACATGGTCTTAAGGCCGAGTTGCCATGGTTTCCTGCGTGATCATGTGTTGCCATGGATACCAAACTTACCTCCATTTTCTTTGGCCACACCCTTGTTTGCTGGCTCATCTGTCTCCAGTTCTTCGATCTCTTGCTCCAGCCTGGCTCAGGCACACACACACACACACACACGTAAAAAAATCATTATTCAAATGAAAATGTAATTACTGAGATCACACTCTGATGTAGAGTAAACACTTTGATTATATAAATGATACAAATGATGAAGAAGATTTGTTCCTTAAAAGGTTTTTATCCACATTGACCGTAAACCATTTGCCATGCAGTAACATTTCTAATGAAAGTCAATAATGAAATGTGGAAAATGTTATTTTTTTTACTATTTATTAATGCTTGGATTTGGCACCAAGATATACACACACAAATAAATGAGAAGAAATAATCACTATTGGTGTATTGATACTTAATATCTGGATGAAACATCACACATCACATGACCTCAGGCATCATCATCCCTGTTTACTGACGGTGGCCGCAGATCTACACACAGCGACGAACATCAGCCACCTCTGTTTCTAATGTTGTATACGCAAGACAACATTCCTGCTGTTTACAGTTTTTCATTTGTGTTGCACCACTGTACCCACGCCTACAGTTGTACCATAACAACAAGAGCAGCAACACCACATATTTGACCTTCAGTGCCCGATGTATTTTCTAAAACTTGCAAACAAAGCAGTACTCTGGACAGTGAGTTTCACAGATTGGACACGCAGAGGTTTTAGTATAAGCTGCTGACCTGAGGATGACCTGCTCCAGAAGTTTGGTCTTCACCTCGTCCTCGTGCAGACGCTTCTGAGTCTCCTCCTCCGCCGGAGCTCCATCTAACAACCAGCGCTCCCTCAGTGCCTTCGACTGCAGGTGGACACAACAAATATAGACAGAGGATAAACATGGTGCAATGTGATTAGGTAGACAACTTTGTCACTATTCCATTAAAACTTTTGGTAGTAATGTTAATGTTACAGCTCCTGAAATCTCCATATTTCTGGTGTATGGGTGTATACAGTAGTGTGCTATAATCAAATTAAATAAGTTTAGCTTTTATTGTCCGTATTCACAAATCAAAGTTTGCCACTAAGGGCCTAAAAATCTGTACAACATCCCCTTTACACTCGACAAGGGTGATTAAAAACAAACAAAACAAAACCCCCGGATAAAACGCAGAAGCCTCAGGGATTCACAAGTGAGGGATTGCTCTTCCAGGATGGACAGATCAACAACATAACTGTATTATTGTGTAGGTGTATTAATACTTCAAGCTTAAATGCAAAAAGAGAAGAAAAAAAAATTAAAATGATCCAACTGAGGACCCTTGTTAAAGCATCTTTCTCCTATAGCAACTGATCAATTCCTTAGCAGAACCTTAATCTCCCAGAAAGCAACATGTTATTGGTCTTTTTTCACTTCCTTGTAATTTATTTCAGAGAGAGATTAGTGGCCCTTTCACTGGAAGAGAGAGAGAAGCCCTTTAGCTATAATCTACAACAGAATATGTACCAGGGAGCACGTCCGCTGCGTCTCTACAGACTGCTGCCACTCAGCGATTCTGTCACACACTTCAACTACTGCCAACTGGTTGTTGCCAAGCGGACTTTGGCCTCCAGCCAGAGCATCAAGGCTTCTGGCAGTGAACAGAAAAATCCCAAAATACGATGTAATTTCTCTCATTATACCTAATTGAAATCTAGATAAGTCACTGAAACATAAAAACAAAACAGCTCACATCATAAATAACGTCAAGCTCTTGGCAAAGTTTGACGTTATTTATGACGTGAGCTGTTTTGTTTTTGACAACACAAATGTCTTAACTGAATAGTTGAATGTACAAGCTGACCAGATTGAATGATTAGAAATGGTTAGCCTAATTATAATGACTGTAGATAAAGTTACCAAACCTAATTAAAAAACAAATATTAATGGAAACAACACAGGAATAAAATAATCACATTTTGGCCCATTATGGATGTTTCACTATTCTCTTGCCTTTCACTTCCTCGACTGTTTTTCAGTCTGTTTATTTCGTTCATCATTTTCCAAACAGCTCAGTATCTTTATCGTGCCTCCCCATCCACATTCCCTCCTGCAGATAAGCTAATATCAAAGCAAATAGTTGGCATGCTCCGAGGTAAATATAACAGCGCAGCTGTTGGACCGTGCAGTGAAAGACAACCCTGCCTGGCCATATGGAAAAGTGCAAGAAAAAGCTCTTGTTTTCACGAGTCTGAGTGAAAATCTGGACCGGTGCTTGATGTGAATTCTTCTCCAGTGATGCAACAAGAATTTCTGAAAAACCTCCCCCTGCCTTTTTCCCCTCTCTGACTCGACCCCCACCCCTTCCTCTCATTTGCGTGAAGCTCTATCCACCATGAAGTTCATGAACTCCAGTTATAGGTTGTGGTGTGTCTCCTTCTCAGTTTGTGTTGGTGTGTTTCTATGTGTGAAAGTGGCTGTTGTTCTGTTTTAACTCTTACTTTCATCGCTGAGGAATTCAGCTGCAGACACCCAGCTGCACAGAGCTTTACAGCACATACTCACACGGTGTAATTCTACACTCCTCATACCCCAGCCCTGGTCTCCTGGGCACTCAATGTAACCCTGCTTCCCCCCCCCTCTCTCTCTCTCACTTTCTTTCAGTCTTGCTCGCTCACCCTCTCGCCACACCTTACTACCCGATGCCTGACATCACTAATGTTCTCACTCGTGCACACACACACACACACACACACACACACACACACACACACACACACACACACAC